CTTTTTCGTGCTTAATTTTTTTTTTTTTTTTTTTTTTTTTTCCATTTGTTGTCTGGTACTTGTATTAGAGTTTGATTATTTTAAATTCGTGCCGCGTAGGGCCCCATTTTGGAGAAATCGCAATCTATCAAGAATTTTTTTCATATTTAGAACTCGAATTCAAGACCCTAATTAATTATGAGGAGCTAGTTTAAATAATGAAGTATAAAAGAATTCATTATTATACATCAATGTATATAGGGTAGAAAACAAGAAAATAATTAGATGCATCCACAAGAGAGTAGTACAAGTATCATACACATGTTTTTTTGGTGATTTCTGGTGACGATATAAGTGTATCTCATAAGATATAAGTACGATACATTGAAATACGGTGACATCCAATTAGTATTGTTCTTTCTTTGATCTCATCATAAGACAAATTAATTAATGTTACTAAGACCTTAATCCTAATCATTCAGATTCAGTCCATTAAGTGCGTTTGGTTTTTAGGTCTGAATCTGAATCAGCCCATTAAGTCCATTTGTTTCTTTTTTCAAAAAGCCTCTTAATGGACCTAAAAAGGCCTAAACGGATCAGATCTGCAGGAGAGTCTTAACACCATTCATACTTATTTAATAAGTTATAAAATAATAAGGTATCGCCTCTCTCAGTCTTTGCATGACTTTTGCTCTCACAACTACAAACTTTCTTCCTCTTTTTTCTCAATCAAACACCAATTTTTTTCCTCTTGAACTGGTAAGTTATCATAATCTTTACAAGTGTTTTTTTTATATTAATAATTTTCTTAGGGTGTATTGATGTTTGTCAAGAACACTTGTTGCAATAATATTTTTAGTGTATTGATGTTCATCAAATCCGTTTGTGAGATAACACTAATATATTATTGTTGTTGAACTAGTTGGTGACAAAAATAATGGAGCTCTTAATAATTCTTCATCCCAATCTTCAGTTTCAACTAGAATTTATCATAAATGTTGAACTTTTTGATATTATATAGTGCTTGTAAAATATTTTTTATTCATGATTTTTTTTATATTATGCTTGATGATTATGATACTTTTTTAATCAAAAAGTAATATTTTTTGTTGAAATGAATTTTTTATAACATTTTGTTAATATAATGTTTGATTTCATATGCACATTCAGATATTGAAAACAAACAATAATCATTCAGTGTTCAGATTTGGAGACAACATCTTAATATTCATATGTGTATTTAGATCTAGACACCTAGCTCTTAATGCAAATCTTAATGTTCAGACGTGTATTCAGATTCAGAGGTCTTAATCTTAATGAAAACAAATGAGGCCTAAGTAAATACACCTTTTGCATGCACCAAAACCCCATGACTTATTGCTTGACTAAGATGCATGATTTGTGAAGTGTTAATGCAGCCGATTACGAGTTTATGACATATATATATATATATATATATATATATATATATAGTTCATAATGCGTAAGGTATACATCATATATTAATACTTTTATATATTATAGTTGGACTTGAAATCTCAAGGTGTATTTTAAAGACAGTAAACCACATAATCAATCTCTAGTCTTGTGTTCAAGGAATTCAAAATTTATAACTCATAGAAAAAAAGTTGATTTAGCTAGGGATAAAATCAAATATGCAGTATTTACATAGTACATTATATATTAAAATGTTTAATTTGTACAATCACAACTATATAGTATTTACACAGTTAGGGGTTCATCGAATTCCTTTTGCAAAAAATTATATTATTTATACATGGAAATAATTTTTTAGGTATATATATAGTAGATGTCGAACTCCCTTCGACTACTTCGTGTGTCTATTTTTTCAAATTTTGAACCCCTTATTGAAAATCCTGACTCTGTCACTGTAAATGTGTTATCATTCATTAAATCAGTGGACTTCAACACTCCTAATTATGTATTTATGTATGTTTAGACAGTGAATATATAGCTCCCGTGAGTGTGCTATGATAATTATCCTAAATAATTTCAGTTTCGACGAATGAGTTTAGAATATATTTTGATGTGACTATATAGCTTAGACATATTTGAGTAGTATTTTTTTTTTGTTGGTTTCACACAACTGTGGTATAAAATTAGTTTTAGAATTGTAATTTAAATTTGCATTGAAAAATTTGATCAATTTCTTCAGATCTATAACCTTTAACTCAGTTGTCATGAGCGCCTCATTTTAGATTGTGACATAATTAATTAATTTTAAAAAAATAAATATATATACTAAATCTATCTTTTTTTTCATTTATCATTAGATTTGAGAAAGGCATGGCAATAAACAGAGTACTAACATCTAGAACTTCGTTACATGGTACAAGTTATTTGAACACACGAATTAAGTCATATAATTTAGGGAACATCTAGCTATAAAAGATAAAAGTTCCTTGGCTCTTTCCTCATCTTTTTGTTACTTTTTGCCTTTATTCTTTTTAATTATTTTACCCTTTAATTAATTACTTTTTGTTTGCTCATAAAAAAAAATGTTGTCATTGTTGTCTCCTTTAATGTCTCATCATACTGTTTATCTCATAATTTTTAATTAACTATTACCAAAAAAAAAAAAAAGAGGAAAAGAACAACAATAAGTGGAGCCTAACAAACAAAAAGCAAACTCAAAAATAGTTGCCAACTTGCTTAATCCATTATTCCAACAACAAAACAATTTTATTTTATTTTTATTATAAAAAAAACTAATCAAAAACCATAACACGTCACTCATGACATAAACTATCCGACAACCCGAGCCCAACCCGTTTAATCATTCACTTCCACGTGGCTAAATCCTCGCCGTCTAAAAAACACCTCAATTATCCAACACACTCTTCACATATTATTTCATATATAGCATGCTTTCTCATGCTTATTATACCCTTCTTCTTACACTTTCATATTCACCTTTAAAAAAACTTCAAAAACACCCAAAAAAAAAACAAAGAGGAAAAAAAAAAGAAAATTATATTTATCGTTAATCTGAAGGGTTTCCGCGTAAAAATCTTGATAGAACTATGACGAGCGTGTTGGGTGCAGAGTGTGACAAAATCCGATTGGATTATGAAGCGGAGACGGAGCTGAGGCTCGGGTTGCCTGGAGCCAATGGAAATGAAGTTGAATCAACTAATAAAAACAATGGCAAAAGGGTCTTTTCAGAAACTGTTGATTTGAAATTAAACCTTTCTAATTCAAAGGATTCTACATTAATGGATAATATTAATCAAGTTGATAACATGAAGGAGAAGAAGAATAATATTGTTGTGCCAAGCTCTAATGATCCTGCTAAGCCACCAGCCAAGTAAGTTAATTAATTTGTGTTATTATTTAATTATGTTATATCATTGTTGCAAGTAATTAATACTATTTGTTAATTAGTAGTTGTATCTATATGGTGATGAAATTTTAAGTTTCATGTTTTGAGTATGCTTTGAACTAGTAGTAGGGGCGGAGTTAGAAGTCTGGTTGAATTCAATATAGTTTTTGCTCAAATAATAGATTTTGATTAAGAAATGCATTGAATATGTATACAAATTAAGTTTAGGTTTCAGTCATTAATAATTGAAATAGCTATTTCAAAACTCATAAAATTGAAATCCTGATTTTATCTGGTGTAGTTCTTTAAATATTTATTTTTATGTAAAGAAGAGTATGGTATTTTGAACTCTTACAATATATTGCAACATAAAAGGAATCATTTTCTGTTTGTTTTTTTTAGTTTAATTATCTCTTTTATATATATTTTGTTCTCATGCAAATTATAATTACTCTTTTTTTGTGTTATAAATTACTGGATTTGCATTGTAGATCATGCTAATTGAATATGTATCTTACTAATCTATGTTAGGGATCAAATATTGAACTAAGAAATAATTTTGGGAATGCTACAACAAAATTTATTTTTCTTATTAGTAGTATGAGTGGAGGCGGAGCTAGACTCTTAAGTTAGGTAGAATTCTATAATTTTATTCAGATTTTATATTTATATTAAAATTTATGTAATATATATATATAAATAATTTATTCAAAACGCAGTAACCTTTTACAGATTAGGAATCTATAACTCAATCTTAACTCTGCCCTGAATTATTTAGGAAAAAATATTGTACTGTAACATTGTTTCGTATAAGAGTATAATTGCTTGTAAAAGAATTTTAATTATTTTTTTTTCTAAAAATTATTTAAAATGGAAAAAAATCTAAATGTTAGGTGTCAGTAGTGTAACCTATCTTTTTGAGAAATTTGGAGTTTAGGATATGGCTGTGGTTGTGTCTAGATGATGGGAGAAAAAACAAAACATTTGGAATCTTTTACTTTCATCACCCAACATTTTTAGTGGAATACACATGGACCTTTTATTTATTAAATCTTTTCACCTCTTTTTCTTGTTCAAAAATGTAATTAATTACTTCAGCAAAACAAATCTAGAGGTACTTTACAGAGTATTTCTTTGTTACCTTTTGGTGAGACAACGCATGTGTGTGCTTAGAAAGATAATAATAATTTCATAAATGCTACTCCTAGTAATAAAACTACTTTACATCTAGCTAAATACTTTATTATAAAATTTCTAACTTTATAAGTTTTTTGAATTTTGGACTTTTACCTTTAGGATCTTATTTATTTCATGAATTCTTAGTGCTCATGTCGCTTTCATTTTATTTGTGCTAAATCATCATATGAGTAAACTTGGGGATTTTTAATAATATATTAATGTGATAAATTTGTGGAAATAATTAATTAAGTTCATTGAACTAATTAATGTTTAATTATTTGCATAACTTAGGGCACAAGTTGTGGGTTGGCCACCAGTGAGATCATTCAGGAAGAATGTAATGACTGTTCAGAAAAACACCACCGGCGCCGGCGAAAGCTCCGGCACCGGCACCGGCGCAGCCTTTGTGAAAGTTAGTGTTGACGGTGCACCATACTTACGTAAAGTGGACTTGAAGATGTACAAAAGTTACCAACAACTCTCTGATGCACTTGGCAAAATGTTCAGCTCTTTTACAATTGGTAAATACTGATCCTTCTGTTTCAATTTATTTGTCATATTTTAATGTGATATAATGAAGTCTTAAAAAATAAAATACTAAATGAATATTATTATCCTTGGCCTCCCCCACATCTTTGGTGGTGGGAAGGTTTTGCCCATTAAAATTATGGAACAAATATATTATTTTACTTGATTTTGTCTTTGATGTAACAATTATTATTCCTTGAAATTTGTGTAGGAAATTGTGGGACTCAAGGATTTAAGGATTTCATGAATGAGAGCAAATTGATAGACCTCTTAAATGGTTCAGACTATGTACCAACTTATGAAGACAAGGATGGTGATTGGATGCTTGTTGGTGATGTACCTTGGGAGTAAGTTTCTAAATACATGAATCTATAATTTATTTTCCATCAATACATTCTAGCATCTCTATTTCTACGAGGCAGTAATACATTTTTTATATAGTTATGTAAATTTGATGATTAACTTTATTTTCTTACTCTTATTTTAGGATGTTTGTTGATTCATGCAAGCGTTTAAGGATAATGAAAGGATCAGAGGCTATTGGACTAGGTAAATTAATACACTTTTCTATTTTTTTATTTTGTTGTGTAAATATTAACTTATAACTATTTTCTCATCCAAATTATATTACTAACATAAATAATTAAACTTTATGCAGCACCAAGAGCAGTGGAGAAATGCAAAAACAGGAGCTGAACTTAATGTTCCAATTAATTGTTCATTGTTTTTTTTTCCATGGTCAAACTATATATTGACCTTGGAGTTTCTAAATCTATTGTAATTTGAAGGGTTTATATATATAATATATAAGGGAAAAAATTGTGAAAATGTTTATCTTATCTATGAGAAGAAATATATATAGATCTAAATAGTTGTCAAGTGTGTGACAGCCTCATATTGGTTGGAGCCCAATTTTGGGAATCTTGAAATTTATATTATATTGTATGTATGTGTGGCCCTATGTGTAAGTGACACTTGAAGTTATCTAATAAATTGAAGACAAGTAACATGACATATTTAAAGTTATTGGGAGGCAAGGCCATGTGCTTTGCTAATGGGGACAAACTTATAGGGATCACAATTATTTCAATCACTAGTGTTTGTTGGGCATCAATTATTTATTTTGTGAGTGGCCATACCACATTATTTAATTTGCTACATTTTGAGGTCTTATATGTCACTTCTTGTTGTTTGGATGTATGTTCAAAATATATATTAAATCAAAAGGAATATAGAGATGAAAATGTGAAGGGTAGTTCAAATATTTTTCATTTATAATCGTGATGTTTAGATTAATTTGTATCTATCTTAATTAATCTCATGAAATATATGTCAGGTCTCATCAATAACAACTACTTAATTATTGTTTGTGATGATAATTTCGAGAGGAGTAATAGTACTTGATGATGGCTTTAGAGATACAATATATCAATACGGCGGCGTCATTGAGAAATTTTAATTGATACCCTTTCATTTGAAAAATTAGGTTATACAAATAATTGATATATACTTGTTGAATTTTTTAAATTTCTTTAATGTGTTTATTTTTAATATTCTAATTCTTACTAGTGAAAATATTATTACATAGTTTTCAACATCTACTACAAAAGAGAAATTTCATTTTAGATAACCACATTTCTACTAGACAGCGTTCACCATGAGCTACAAGAGAAGTTAATTAGGTATCAATTTCAAATATATGAAAAAGTGCTATGTTTTAAATAGAACCACTGAGCGGCTACCTTTAATAAGTCTGTCTAAAGCCCATTTCATAGAAAACTTTTTTAAAAAGCCCGGTCTAAGTAAGTTCATTGACCCATCGGGCTTGAACAATGTTAGGATTGATTAACAACTTGCCTTTTTTGATTAACAAATGCCAGTAAATTAGGTCTAATCACATTTCTTTTCTTTTCCATTAGAATCCAACTAGGTAAGATGTAGTTTATATTTTTGCAATAGCTCACTCATTGGGAAAAAGAACTCTGGATAGTAACATATAAAGGCTAATCTATATATATCCTACGAAAAGACTACTCTAAATTGCATTCGTGTATTACTACATGTTCTTAGGTTGGTGCGTATTTCGAAGTTGGTTAGTGATAATTTCATTATCATTGTGTAATAAAGCGGAGGTTGGAGAGTATGGGCTTGAAGATTTTGCTTCCCATGGGCTAATATGGATGAATTTTACTAGTCTCTTATTTCTATCGAATTTTCTTTTTTCTATTATAATTCTACACTTTAAAATTAGCATTATTCTAATCAGGCCCGAATTTTATCCCATACATACCTAAAGGATATAATCTTTTTAGAAACTAAACTCATATTCCGACTAGTAAGACATTATGAAATAAAAATAAAAATTTATATATCGCCTGGAAAAGTTAAAAAGTGCAATTGAGCACACAAGATCTTAAAGGTTGACACTGCAAGTTCTTTTTGTTTAGGGGTTAAATTTTACTTGCGGAAACATAGGAGTTAAGTCTGAACATTCTCACTTGTGCCCAAACCCATCGTCTTCTCTCGTGCAATCGAAAATGCAGCAGGTGAGTCTACTAAACCCTAACTTTTACCTTTTCACCATTTGAGCTTTCCTCTAAGAAATACTTATCATTGTTGATTCTGTGGAAAAAGGCTGGAACCTCGGGCTCCGAAGTGGAGGTAACATGGGAGGATCAGCAGAATATTAACAAATTTGGCAGATTGAATAATCGTCTTCACGAACTCAATGATGAAATCAAGGCTGCCAAGGTAATGCCTCTTTTTTTTTTTCCGTTTTCCCCCAACATTTCCACTTTCAGTAGTTTTGTGTATATATTTACTGTTCAAAATTGGATGGGCGAAAGGAAATCGGATGCAGTATTGGAATTAGGATCATTCATATTCATTCCAATTTCCGATTCAGTTAGAAAATTGGAACAATTTGTTACTTCAGTACCTATTAAGGGTTCATCGAAGCTAGAATTTCTTTAAATATGAGGATTATTACGTAATAGTGACAAAAGTTGAGCCTTAATTCCAACTGGTCAGAATGATCGATATTTAATTGCTGATCCATTGCTTTGATTGTGTTGTATTTAGTTAGGTGCACATTCTTTCATAGACGTTGTAGGTCTTGTATGACAACCTTGTCTACATGTTTGAGGTCTACTTTGTTCATTTTATTACCTTCAATCATTATAATGTCACACCTATGAACCGGCACATATAGAAGTCTGCATATGACATGTCGAAAATTGTCAAAAGGAGGTGGTTTTGTAGAAAATTGTTGGTCCAACAATCAACATTCTTCATGTGTATGAAGATCACACTTTTATAAGCTTTCTTGTTCCCTTTGAGGACCATACACGTTGATAATGCTCTCTTCAGTGTCTTGTTCATATTCAATACTTTATTCCATTTTATGTGACAATCTTACTATTTAGTTTGTTTTCTAAATAATGTTACCTCTCTATAGTTAGAAATAATCTACTTTAAACATTTCATTTTACCCTAATATCATGATTTTTAATAGCCACATAACATCTATGGATTTTTTAAGACTATAAGTTCAAAAAAGTTTTTATTTCTTTAAACTTCTCGCCCAGTCAATATGTTCACACAAAATGAAGTGGAGGGAGTACATGAATTCACGCAGCGATAAACTTTTTCTAGCCTATGAAATGCTCACTTTCCTCTATTTGACTCTTGAATCATAAGCAGCACAAAATCTTCCACGGTCCATTATCATTCCCATTGTTTGAGCATTGTTAGGGACCTAAAACAATCAAATTTATAAATGTGTCTCCTCATTAACATTTTAAACTTTTGATGAGATGGTTCACATAATTTAACATGGTATTGAAGTCTTTTTGTAGTATAGCTGACTCTGTCCCCTCTTTTGTACAAATCACATCTTCTTGATGCCTTTTCTGTAAAATCTATTACTTCATCACAAAACAAAAAAAAAATTAGCATGGTATTGGAGTAGTTTTTATTTTATTTTTATAAATGAAGTAAGAAAGTTTCATTAATGGCATCAAGCAGATGCATAAGCAAAAAGTACTAAAGAAAGATTGTGACTAGTCCAATTAGAGTAGTTATAGAGATACTGGTTCAGAGTCTCATCACCAATTGTCAAAATATTGCTATGTGATTGGCCTAAAAAAAGATTCAGGCTTTGCGTGTGAGAGGGCATGTTTGCATACCTAGAATATGTAAATAAAAGTGCAATTACAATTGAAATAATTTCCCAAACAAACTTTTAGATGTGCATCTACTAACTCTATCCCAGCTGCATGGCAGTTGACTTTTGTGGATTCAACAACAAACTTGTTACAATCGTGTTTTGTAAATATGTGCAAAAGTAATGGTTAGAATATGTAAATAGAGATGTCATACCAAATCTATAATATGAAATAGTATTGTCATCAATTATATGATTTTTACAAATTGCTGGAGTTTCATCTTCTTAAAGTTATCATTGGGACAATCTAATCTAGAAAGTGGGTCAAATAATATGGGATGGAGTGAGTACATTAAAACTATGAGGTTCATCAATTAAGTGTTCTTTGTGACTGTATGGACAGACTTCTATTTTACTTAGTATTCGTTGATGTTATTTTCATTATCCGGAAGATTGAACATTTACATTCTAATTTTAGAAGAGTATGGGCTAAGAAAAGAAGGAAAAATTGTTCTCCTAAGCTAATGAGCAAGTGTTTTCTCATTTTACCTGTTAACCTCAGTCATAGAAGGCCCCTTTTTATGCGTATAAGATAAATAAACGGAATGACTAGTTCCAGTTAAGGCATCTGCTATATATCCATGGAGAGGTGAACCTTCTGATTCTTGATGCTTAGTCAATTCCTCCCCGAGTCTCTGTATTGTAAATGTTCTCTCATTCTGTATGTTTAGATTTTTTCAAATGCATCTACGTGCTAATGCAGAAAAAGGTTGTCAGGTAATATCAAAATAATGCATGGTTTTGGTTGTTATGATGATACATATTCAAAAGCTTATAAATGAGGGAGTCCGTGAGTATGCAAAGTTCAGCCCCAACATTTTGATGTAGTCAACCTATGAGTTTGCTTATATTATGGTGAAGTGCAAAATAATATATTAGTTAGTGTGTACAGGTAAACAGTGGATCTTGGATAGGAAGATCTCCTTCTTTGCCTTGAAAAAATGAAGGCTAAAGGTGGTGAAGTGCAAGTGTTGATTATATCAGGTGTTTAACATAGAAATTTTGGAGGAAAACAGTTTTGGGTGTAAATATTATAGACTTGCTGAAAGTGATGGAGAGATCATAGAGAGACAAGACCCATAGGCTACTAAGAATTTTACACTGTTGTCAAAAGTAAATGCCATACTCATGAACAAGCTATGTGAAGAAAATTGCTAATCATGGCAGTCTTATGATGATAATTTGCTTGGTAGTTGAAACCAAACTTAGTGGTCTGGAGCTTTGTAAGCATCAATGAGATAGTTGGATTGTTGGTTCATCAAATTCCATAAGAATCTGGATACCCTGCTGATTTTCTCATACTTATTTAGTGATCCAGGGCGGTTCATGCTGCCCCTCATAAGAAGATGAATTTGAAATTTTGACCTCAAGACCTAATCAGAGCAATTTTGTACCCTATTCACATCATACATGTGTATGTGTATAGATATTAGATCCAGAGATTCCAGAACATCTTTTAATAGAAATTACAACATATGTCATGAACCAAGGAGAAAAAGCCTAAGA